CGGTTCGGGAGCACGTATAGATCGCCACACGCTGTCCTCCAGGGGTAAAGGTGTCAACCCACTGGTCCTGGAGAACTGCGTTTCTCACCAAGTTCGTAGATAACAATGGGAGGTGGAGGCCTGACAGTGAGCCAGACGGAACCGGAGTGGTGGACCGTGCAAGAACTGGGCCCCCTGAGGGGTCAGCCAGAGAGACTGCAACAGGTGCAGTGAGTGGTGTGAGTGCAGTACTGTCACGAAAGAAACAACGGGAAGCACCTGAGTCAAGCGTGAAGGTGTGCAAGGCCTCAGCAGGCGCAGTACCTGAGACAGCAGACTCGCTCGCACCTAAGGCAGCAGCCTCTAAACCTGGGTCAGGCGGCACACACAAGTAACAGTCTCCCTCAGCACTAACAGTCAATGCATACATGGCAGCAAGGATAGCATCATAGTCAAGAGCAAAGATGTCTACACCAGCCCTAAGCAGCTCATGCCAGCGAGGGCGCTCGACTTCCTCGCCCATCTCCTCACGCCGGGCGTCGTCAAGGCGGGAGGAGCAGCGGTGCTGGGTGTGGAACTTCCCGCATGTCTGACCTGCGCGGTCACCTGTACGAATGACATACGGGCAGCGACCACTACCCCCAGACCTCCCACGCTGAGCCAGCCACTCACGAAGCTGCTGGGGCGTAAGAGCCTCATGGGGACGCTGCTGCTGCTGCTGTCTCTGGCCAGCGCCAACGCCTCCGCCCCGACCGCCACCACCGCCGCCACCCCCTCTGCCGCCACCGCCTCCACCGCCACTCCCACCGCCGCCACCGACGCCACCACTCCCGCCAGCACTCCCGCCACCACTCCCTCCGCCACCTCCGCCTCCTCCACCTCCTCCACCACCACCCCCCCTGGTGCCACCTCCGCTACTCTTGGCTCCCTTGCCCTTGCCGCTGCGGCGCCTCCCACTAGGAGCAGAAGCAGCACCAACAGACTCAGCACCAAGGTAGTCAACAGCAGCGGCAGTAGCTTAGGAGGGGGCGAGTGGAGAGGGAGAGCACCCCTCAAAGATGGGGGTGCGAGGAGCGCCACGAGCAGCACCTACAGTGACTATGCTAGTCTCGGCGGCTAGAAGCTGCTCCTCTAGGAGGTCGACAGTGAGATCGGTGGGACAGCGAGCGAGAAAGTGGTCCCTGACCGAGCGAAGAGAGTCAGGGAGACGGGTCACTATGAAGTGGAGGGTCCAGTACATCGGAGGCGGGTTCTTTGCTAAGAACTCTTTGGGGAGGGCGGCGCGAAGGCGAGTCTCACCAGTGCGAAGGTGGGTGATAAGATCGGCAACTGTGGCAAAGGTGGACAGCTCAGGAAACAGGTAGGGCAGCATGAGGCAGCTAAGTGCAGGGGAGGAGTATCGAGCAACTACAGCGTCGTACAGGGCCTTAGCGGGTATGTGTTTGCCAAAATGCATGAGTTCGGCTCACGGCAGGTGGTTGCAAACAGCTAGGCGAGCAGCAGCGTCACGAGTCAGCCACTGGGAACGGGCGCTTAGCTCAGCTGTGGCAGCAGAAGCGACTGAGGCACCAGACGTGTGGTCAAAGAGAGAGACATTGTCCTTGCTATCGCTCATTAGGAATAGCTGCAGGTCATCGAGCCAGGTCTCAAACTGAATCGGGCGGCCCTCAGTATCGAACGATAGAACGCGGAGGGTGGCCATAGCTGCTGGCGCGGGACTGGCAGGGCAGAGCGATTGCAGGCAAGCAGCAGTAGTAGGGGCGGCGCGCTGGGCTGAAGCGGGCGGCCGCAATAGTGGCACGCGCAGAGGCGGCGCGCGGGCTTAGCGGGCGGCCGAAGCAGTGGCAGGCGGCGCGTGGGCCAGCAGGCGGCCGGCGTGGCAGCAGAGTGTGCGGCGCGCTGGGCGTAGCTGGCGGCCGCGGCAGCAGGGCGGGCGGCGCACGGGGCTGCGGGGCAGCGCGACGGGTGGCGCGCGGGGCGTAGCAGGCAGCCGCGGCAGGGGTAGGCGGCGCGCGGAGCTACAGGCGGCCGGCAGAGCAGCGCGCGGGGCGCAAAGCGTGGCGCGCGGGGCGCAAAGCGTGGCGCGCGGGGCGGGGCGCGGCGCTAAAGAAAACGAGCGCTGCAGCAGTGGCGCGCGGCCAGCAGGGACAGCGCGCAGGTGGCGTGCGCGGGGCAGCGCGACGCGGGGCAGGGCAGTGGGGTAACGCGGTAACCACAGTCGGAATGGTGGGTCCGAAAAAACAAAAAAAGTCCTACGGACCTACTGCTCCGAAACAATGTTAGAATGAGAAGCTAGAATGATTGCATTGAAAGAATTGTGGGTACAAGAACTTGTTGGAAACAAGTAACGTAAACGCTTCTGATGTGTCGCAACAGCAAGCTGAAAACGAAGCGAACTACAACGAAGCAACGGCGAGTCAACCATCGGAGGTTGACAAGAGAAGTAACTGCTGGAGGTTACGCGAAGGTCAAAGGTCAGCGACCTTTGACTTGACAAATACAGCGAGACAGCAAGGACAAACAACTGACTCGCTATTGAGCAGTTGCCCGAGTCGTTACTGTATCGAACCGCAACTGCAACAGTAAAACGGTTATTAGTTGCATCTTTTCATATTCCTTGTACTCTTATAAAACCTTGTATCTTCTTGCTTTTATCAATCTACCAACACTTGTCATTAAAACGCTTCCGCAACTACAACACTTCTACTCAGAGTTTAGCCTTGTAAAGATCCTAAGGGCTTTTCTCAGCCCAATAGAACTAACCCTAACATTGGGTTGTACCCCATATTGGCTACCCCACTATAGCCTATACAGAACTAGCACATATATAGTTTGACAGCCCGAACCTCGCACGCGCCGCGTTACCTTCCGTTTGCATGTTTCGCACATAAGTATTCGCTCATGCCTTCTATCATACTTTGCACACCTAGTGGAATCCTCGCTATCTCGTTCCAATGCACCCATAACACATCTCAACATAAGGGCTTTGGATCCGATAGTTTCTCTTGTTGAATACGCGTAAGTGGCAACTCCTAATGTTTCGCAGCCTAGCCCCGCCAGTCAGATCAGCCGGTTGGACGGCAACCTGACAGCGAGCGACAGGGGGTGGCAAGTGGTTGGGGGCACGATCGGGCGGCCATTTCCGCGCCAGTTCGCCGGCACGACGCTCCTAGACGGGGTTCGTTGCTCTGGGCGATGGGGAGCGCCGTCGAAGCTCCGTCCGTTTAGCCATTCAGGTCAGTCGGATGCGTCTTGAAATGTTTCCGTGATTTTGGGACGCAAGTTTGGAGCCGTGCATGTTTACTCATCTGTACTTATCGGCGTTCAAGTCCGCGTGCACTGAGTCGGCAAACCACAGCAGTAGGTGTGGTGTGAAGTCAATTGACGACATAATAGGTTTTGAGCAGAAGCAACTAATCACTGCAAAGGCAGAGCTTGAAAGAGGGAAGGTTGCATTGCTGTACCAAATCAGAGTGATAGCCACCACGCAGATTGAGAGTTGTGCGCCGTCGCGGTCCCTCGACGTTTGCAGTTCGTAACCTGTTCAAGACGCAAAACTAGAGCTTATTCTGGGCGGTGCGCTTAATCTTAGTAACAGAGTAAAAGCATGGTTTCTAATAGGTCCGGTAGATCGTCACTCCCGTTCCTAATACTCCTTCTCCTCGCTTCCTCCCCTCCCCACTCGACTTTCTCACCCACCCGCGCCGCTCCTACCGGCGCGCAGTTACAACCTGCCTCAGTTCCGCCCGTTACCAGGAACCGCGGTTCGAACAGTACCAGCGTCGACACTCCGCCTCCCCGCGCGTGGCATCCGCTGTTGAGTCTCCCCGTCGGTTCTCCCAATTACGCTGCGCACGAGCGGTTGCGGTGGTCGCCACGTCAACGCCACGTGTTCGGGCGGCACTCTGCTCGGCTTATAGTAGGGGATGTAGCTTTCCCGCATGACGCGGATGGGGAGGAGCCTGCTGTGCGCGGCCGCTCCCTGGGGGCTTCCGCCGCCGCCGGCGCCGGTGCGGGCGAGTGCGACGCGGAATGGATGCTGCTGTGGCCGGCGCAGGGGTGCTGGTTGCCGCGCATGACGACGACGGCGCAAGGCAGAACACCCTCGCGCGTGACTTTCGCCGCCGCCTCCTCCTCCTCCTCCTCCTCCGTGTACCGCCAAGCTACTAGTACCGCGCAAAGCCTATCTTCTGCGGGCGCAGAGACCGTGCAAGTTCCCACGCCTGCCCCATCTTCGGAAGAGGGGGGGACGGCCAGACGGGGGGGATGGGGAGGGAAGTGCTCCGCCGCCCCTTGGGAGCGAGGCGCGGCTGACACCTGATAATGAGATTATTGGCGTGTGTCGATCCGGAGGTGAGATATCCGCGATATAGAGTTGTACCAACGTCCTTCAAGAACGGGATGAACCGGGAAGGGGGGCGATGCTCCTACTGGATCAAGTTGCGGTCAACGGGGAGGAAATGGGGGCAAACAGGGGGGAATGGAGGGAATGTGGGGAAAAGGGGGGGGGACAGAATGGGGTAAAATGTGGACAATGGGGGGGAATGGGGGGCATTTCGGGCAAAGAAAGGTGGGGTGAGGGGATAATGGCAATGGGGGCAAAGGGGTTATCAATCAATTCTGTACTCGTTATAGCCAGCATCGCGGTGACTGTAGATCACCTTAGTCATGCCCTTGTTGGAACTTGAATTCTGCACTTCCTCTCTCGACCCTCTTCGTGTCTTGATACGCTTCAAATCTCCTCCTCGTGTCCTCCTGTCTCTCCTCGTCTCCTTCCTTGCCTCCTCGCCTCCTTGTGTCCTTGAGAAAGGCAGCAGGAGCATGTCAAGGTTACGCCAGCTTCCTCTCCTGGAATCCTGATCCGCTCCTTCTCGCGTTTCTCTCCTCCTAGGCCACCCACCCACCCAGCATGATGAGTGCTTTCCGAGTCGACTCAAAAAGAGACACGTGCACAGCATGACATCAGTGCCCATGAGGATAATGCATGACAATGCATGGGGTCACCGTCCACAAGGCCAACCATGTGCTCTACATTCCCAATCGCCCATACTCTCCCTCTCGTCCCTTCTCTTCTCTCCCTCTCGTCCGTTCTCTCCCTCTTGTCTCCTCACCTCTCGTCTCCTCACCTCTCCTCTCCTCACCTCTCCTCTCCTCACCTCTCCTCTCCTCACCTCTCGTCTCCTCACCTCTCGTCTCCTCACCTCTCGTCTCCTCACCTCTCGTCTCCTCACCTCTCGTCTCCTCACCTCTCGTCTCCTCTCATCTCGTCTCCTCACCTCTCGTCTCCTCTCCTCACCTCTCGTCTCCTCACCTCTCGTCTCCTCACCTCTCGTCTCCTCACCTCTCCTCTCCTCACCTCTCGTCTCCTCACCTCTCGTCTCCTCACCTCTCGTCTCCTCACCTCTCGTCTCCTCACCTCTCGTCTCCTCACCTCTCGTCTCCTCACCTCTCGTCTCCTCTCCTCTCGTCTCCTAACCTCTCGTCTCCTCTCCTCTCGTCTCCTCACCTCTCGTCTCCTCTCCTCTCGTCTCCTCACCTCTCGTCTCCTCTCCTCTCGTCTCCTCACCTCTCGTCTCCTCTCTTCTCGTCTCCTCACCTCTCGTCTCCTCTCCTCTCGTCTCCTCACCTCTCGTCTCCTCTCCTCTCGTCTCCTCACCTCTCGTCTCCTATCCTCTCGTCTCCTCACCTCTCGTCTCCTCTCGTCTCCTCTCCTCTCTTCTCCTCACCTCTCGTCTCCTCTCCTCTCGTCCCCTGTCCTTTCCCCACAGCGCCATTGCCCTGGATTGCATTGGACATATTCCTTTTCCTCGTAGGGAGCTGGCAGGCGCTGCTTCTTCTCTCCTCCTTCCTTTCATTTTCCTTCATTCTCTTTCTTCCCCTTCATGTCCTTTCTTTGCCTATCTTCGCCTATGTTCGCCTATCTTCGCCTCGCAGACACAGACCCCTCCACCATCACCATCACCATCACTATCACCATCACCATCACCAGCACCACCCCCATCGCCATCGCCATCACCATCGCCATCACCATCACCATCACCATCACCATCGCCATCACCATCACCATCGCCATCACCATCACCATTGCCACCACCATCACCATCGCCATCGCCGTCATCATCACTATCTCCCCTAGTGGAACGGACAGACGTTGCGAGACTGGCCCAACGTCTTCTTCGTTCCCTTTATCTCCCTTGCCAGTTCTTCCCCTATCGTGTCTGTCTCGTCCATTCTCTGTATCCGCCTCACAGACCCCTCCACCATCACCATCGCCCCCAACTGGCGCGGATGGCTCTCTGTCCCTTAATCTCCCATTCCTTTCCCTTTCGTTTCATTTCTTTCATTCCCTTCCTTCGCCTCGCAGACCCCTCTCTCATCACCATCACCATCGCCCATTATTGGAATGGTCAGTCGTGCAGTGAGTGACTGGCCTAACGTCTTCTTTCCTTCCCTTTATCTCTTTCTCATTGATTCCATTTCCTCGCCTCCCAGCCCCCTCCACCATCACCATCGCCCCTGACTGGAACGGACAGACGTGGCACGGCTGGGGCTCCTCGTTGGCATGGTGAGTTGCTTGACTGACATGGTTATCTGCTTAGCTGGCATGGTTACCTTACCTGCTTAGCTGGCATGGTTGTCTGCTTAGCTGGCATGGTTACCTGCTTAGCTGGCACATCAGGCTGCTCATCTCAATCCAGGCCTACTGTGTGTGTGCATGCCTCGGTGTTCCATGCCCATGCCCCAATGCCATGCCGATACGACATCCCCCATTCCCATGCCTCGTCTTCCATGCTCCATACCTCATGTGGCGTGCCCCATCCCATGCCCTATGCCCCATGCCCCATGCCCCTTGCCCCATGCCCCATGCCCCATTCCCCTTGCCCCATGCCCCAAGCCCCATGCCCCATGCCCCTTGCCCCATGCCCCATGCCGCATGGCCCAATGCCATCCCCTGCCCCACCCTCCATGCGCACTCCTCCCCATGTCGCATGCTCCATGCCCCATGCCCCACGGGCCATGCCCCATGCCCAATGCTCCAATGCCCGATGCTCTATGTCCCATGTCCCATGCCCAATGCTCCAATGCCCGATGCTCTATGTCCCATGACCGATGCTCTATGTCCCATGCCCGATGCTCTATGTCCCATGCCCGATGCTCTATGTCCCATACCCCACGCTCTATGTCCCATACCCCATGCTCTATGTCCCTTGCCCCTTGCCCCTTGTCCCTTGCCTCTTGCCCCATGCCCCTTGCCCCTCGCCCCGTGTTCCCTTATTGTCCCGTACCCCGTGCTCCGTTCCCTTTGCCCCCTGTTCCACCCCCCCTGCAGGTTCGCCAACTACATAGGGAAGCTGCCAGAGGACCAGTTCACGCTCATCATGGATTTACTTTTCGACAAGGACAAGGGCATCGGGCTCAACCTCGCGCGCTACCTCATAGGCGGCAGTGTAAACTACACCAACAGCCCTCAGTTCCTCACTGCTGCATGGGAATCCCGCTCTATCCCTGGCTTCCGTGTCCAGCCAAACGGGCCGTATGATTGGACGGCGGACGGGCGGCAGAGGCGGACGATGCTCGCCGCCTGGCGCGGAATATGGACGAGGTGGAGGCGGTTTCGTATTCGCCGCCCTGGTGGATGACGGTCAGCGGGGACACGGCCGGGACGGAAACGGGCAAGTGCAACTTAAGGCCCGAGTATTTCCAGGCGTACACGGAGTACCAGGCTTCGGTGATCGAGCGTTACCGCACGCATTGGAATGTAACGTTTTTTACCATGAACCCAGCAAATGAGGCGTTGGAGGGGTGGTGGACGCAGGGCCACAAGAACGAGGGGTGCAACTAAGGCCCTGAGAAACTGACCACTCTCATTCAGCTGCTCACGGCTACCCTTCGAAAGCGCAAGCTCCCGACGAAAGTCGCGGGGTTTGACAGTTTCGTCGGCGCCACGCTTCGGTATACTTACAAGTTCCCTGCTGCGGTGAAGGCCGGCCTTTTTCGGCTGAACGTGCATGGGTACATAAACCCGCCGCCCAGCACGGCAGACACTCGGCAGTACATGGAAGGCGTGATGGTGGGAATGCACCGCATGGCGACCGGGCTGGGGAAGGAGGTGTGGGTGTCGGAGGTTGGGCCGATGTGGGTGACCGGGAATGATGTCGGTGTGATGCTGTTCACGGCGCGGCAGATCGTGCAGACTGTCAACATCATGGGGGCTTCGGCCTGGATTTTCTGGCAGGCAGTGAATGGGGTGGGAGGGAACAACCCAGACGCATTCCTGAAATGGGGGCTTTTGGCGGTCAGGATCTACCGGCTGAACGACACAGAAATCAAGCCGTTGGATCTGGTGATTTCCAAGAAGCTCTACATGCTGCAGCAGTTTGTGCGTGGGGCGCCGAGAGGAAGCCTGCCTCTCCGGATCCACACGTCAGACGGGTGTCATCACTGCATTGCAGCCTTCTTCCATCCCGACCAGCACTTTGTGTCCATCTTCATCGTCAACCAGCGCGACACGACACACACTGCGACGTTCCAATTCGAGGATTTTGTGTGGTGGAGACCTATCGCACGTCAGTCACGGAGAACAACACTCTGGTGGCGACTCAAAGTTACTCCGACGTGCCGGCTTTGATACAAGTGGCTGCTCTGGGCAGCTCGATGACTTCCGTGGTGCTGCGCAATGTGGCCCCCGCATAGTGCTGAGCTGATTGTGTCAGAATGTTGTATTTGTCTAGCCTGCAGTGGGGTACTCTATAGCGAGTACAGCCCAATCTAGGGTTTCCTATATGTACTCAACTGCTTGCTAGTGAACCTCCTCCTTTCTTCATTCTTACTTTCTACTGCTAGTTCTGATAGATTGCACCGATGGTGGTGATGGCATGGCAGGGTTAGAAACACAGAGAGAGCAGGGCTGCTCCTTTATGGCGATACCACGGTACAAACAAGTGGCTGTGCTGGGCTAGGCAGACCCAGCGTAGTGTAATGACGTTTGCAGGGATGAATGGAGTGCTGATCCGCTACGCCGCATACTGATGATTGCAGCACTGGTTTGGATGGTGTTGGTTCGGGCAAGCAGGGGGGTGCTCCTTCATTTCGAAACAAGTGGCCGCAGCCTGCAGCTCCTACGTGCAGAGAGCTGCAGAGAGCTGCAGAGGTGTGCAGAGTGGTGCTGCTGTATGCAGCCTGCAGCTCCACGGCATCCATTGTGCTGCGCAATGTGGACCCTGACTGCATAGCGCTACTTGCAGAGTGACTGCTATACCTGACGCATCCATGACTGTAGCATTAGTGGGCCTTGCATCGTACTGGTTGCAGAGTAAAGGTACGGTACTACTACCTTTGTTAAGGTACCTTCTACTATTATTTCTGTAGCTAGAGTAGAGTCCATGTAGTTCTCCTGCCTTCTACAATTTAAAGTCTGCTTGTAACTACTGAGTTATTGGGAGTACTGTGACCAAGTTTTTATGGACTCCTTGTTTTTGTTGCTTACACCATCTGTTTGAGTTAATGGTCAGAGAAAGCAGATCTCCTCAGTCCGTGTTGAGATGGGCATTTGTGTGCAAGGTGTGTGAGGGGGGATTCATGTGTGGGCATGTGTTTGTGGGTGTGTCTATTTATGCCACATGCTCTTGTTGATCAGTGCATGTATCGGCATCTGTTGTGCTTCAACTCAAGGCTCCTAGCTCGTGGTGTGTGATGGCTCTGAGAAAAGGGAGGGGTGTCAAATTACATACTTGTTATAGGTTGTACTGGGGTAGCTTGTATAGGATACAAACCCTTTAGAATAAGTGCTTGTATCTCCCATCTTTCATAGTTCATCAACCCACTGTTCCTAACTTTGACACAGTATCATATCTAGGTTCTTCGTTCCGCCTGCCCTATGCGCTGTTGCCTCTGCACGCGCGCTGCCCACTGCCCACCTGCCTCACAGTCCAGCTACGGCGCGCTGCTGCCGCGCATTGCCGCCACTGCTGCCCTCGCGCGCTGACTGCTGCCGCTCGTCGCCCGCTGCAGCCCGCGCCGCTTGCTACTGCCCGCTGCTCGCACGCCCCCCGCCGCAGCCCGCTGCTCGCGCGTCGCCCGCGCACTACCCGCGAGCCGCCTGCTGCCGCTCGCGCGCTGCCTGCTGGCCGGCCCGCTGGCCGGCCCGCTGCAGCCCGCGCGCCGCCCACTGCCGCCCGCACACAGCCTGCTGCTCGCACGTAGCCCGCGTACTGCCTGCGCGCCGCCTGCTGCCACCCGCACGCTGCCCGCTGGCCGTCATGCTGCGGCCCGCGCACCGCCCACTGCCGCCCGCGTGCAGCTTGCAGCTCGCGAGTCGCCCGCGCTCTGCTCGTGCGCCGCCTGCGGCCGCCGGCGTCCTACCCGCTGGCCGGCCTGCTGCAGCCCGCGCACCGCCTGCTGCCGCACCCTGCCCTCTGCTGGCCCGCTGCCGCCCGCTGGCCACCTGCAACGTTCCGCCAACTGCTGCTTGCTAGCAGCCCGCAACCGCCCGCCAGGCGCCCGCAACCTGTCACTAACCGCCTGCTACAGGCCCACTGCCACTAGCTGCCCCCTGCGCCTGGCTCACTGCCGCAAGTTGCCGCCCGCTACCGAGGCGCACTGCCTACTGCCGCGCTGCTTCGTGCCACCCGCTACTGCCGTGCCGCCAGTTCTGTCACGATACCCCGAGCAACCGCTAGTGCCTCGACCTGCAGCTAGTTCCCAGTGTCGCCTCCTCGTTCTTAGCGCTGCCGCCTGACCTAGTTGCTGCCATGGCGACTGTTACTGTGCTCGCGTTTGACGCAGATGGGTGCCCTATCGAGTTCGGATCCTGGCTAGAGGACCTGCACCTGTACCTGCATAGTGCCACCAAGGACAACGTCTCGCTGTTTGAGCAAACGTCGGGGTCCCTTAAGGCCCCACCTACTCCGGCTGAGCCTGTCGCTACCGCTACCGAGGCTGTGCAACAGCTGTATAGGACTGACCGCGTTGCCTGCAGACACTGGATGGCACGCGACGCCACCGCCTAGCTTGCAGTCCGCGCTCACCTCCCGCCCGACTAGAGGTCCCACACTTTCGCCAGGTGAAGTCGGCCAAGGCTCTCTATGACGCTGTAGTTAATCGCTACTCCTCCCCCTCTTCTGCCCCCGAGGCCGTCTTGCACTGCCGTTTCTCTTCCCTCAGTCGTCGGACTTCACCACTGTAGCCGACCTCATGACCCACCTGCTGTCCCTTGACGTGCACTACTGTGCTGCTCTCAAGCCAGAGTTTCTGGCTGAGAACCAGCCCCCCATGTATCTCACTTTCTACTTCTTCACGACTCCCCTCCCTGACTCTCTTTGCGTCGTTCGAGACCACTTCCTCTCCCAAGATCCCACTGATCTCACCCTTGCCTCGTTTGAGACCCGTCTCCTCGAGGCTGAGACCAGTGCCCGCACTGTAGCTGCCTCCCGTGGCTCTCCCAGCCCCTTCTTTGAGGGGTGCCCCCCCTCCCTTCTGGCGCCTTCTGTTGCCTCTGCTGCTGCTGTTGACTTCCTCGGTGCTGAGGAGGTCGGTGCTGCATCTGCTCCTAGCAGGAGGCGCCGCTGCAGGGGTGGGCGTTCGAGGGGTGGGTGGTGGGGGTGGTGGAGGTGGTGGTAGCGGTAGAGGTGGCGGGAGTGGTGGAGGTGGCGGTGGCGGCGGGGTTGACGGGGGTGGTGGAGACAGTGGGGGTGGCGTGGGTGGCGGAGAGGGCTCGGGTGGCAGTCGGGGTGGAGCTCGCGGGGGTGGAGGCCCAGGTACGACGACCCAGGGAGCTGCGTCTGGTGGTACAGCCAGTGGAGGTGGCGGTTCTAGGGGTGGACAGCAGCAGCTGTGGCAGCCACGTCGGCAGGAGACTCCCTCGCCGCACCAGCTTCGAGTAGGTTGCCCATCGAGGCTCCCCCGATGGTGGTGGTCCTTGCCAGTACGTGTGTCCCACAGGCCCGCGTGCCGGCGACGTCTGCGGCAAGACGGGGCACGGTGAGGCTCGCTGTTTCTGCCGCCTTGAGGACGCTTTTCGTGAAGAGTTCGGTGAGCAGGCCAGGGTCCCTGACTGGTTAGAATTGCTCAAGAAGGGCGTGGATTTTTTTTTTTTGATTGGGACAAGATCTTTGCAGACATGTATGCCATGCATGCTGCTGGTGCTAGTGCTGAGGGTGACTACTATTCTTGTATACCTAGATCTGATGGAGACTGCTAGTGTAGATGCTGGTGAGCCTGCAAAGGCTTTGCTCACGTTCACGCTGGCCTCCGGTGCGACTCGGTGCTTCTTCCGCGACTGCACCACAGTCACACCGCTCCCGGCACCTGTCAATGTCACCCTGGCCGACCCCTCGGCTAGACCAGTCGTTGCGCGCGACTCCACTGTTCTCCCGTGTCCGGCACTCCTCTCTAGCTCCCTCACAGGTCTCCACCTCCCCTCGCTCGCTAGGAAATTGGTGAGTACCGGTCACCTCCAGAATCTGCTGGTTACCACCACGATTCCCGAGGCCGGGCGCGTGACGATCTGTACGAACACAGAGACTGGAGACCACCTTGCCACGTTCACACGGAGGCCTCGGTCCAGACTGTACACACTGCAGACTGAGTGTGCTCAATTGGCTACGTCAGGTCACATAGCTGCGTCTTGCTCGTGTCGGTT